TACCCCAAGAGCTGGGGTAACAAAGACCATCACTTTTTTTGAAATTACATAAAGACTATGAGAGGCAGGAGCCAGCAATTTATGGTGAGTGAAGCTAGAGTATAGACCTGTATTTTGCATGTTTCAATTCAAGTTTAATTTAACTAGTAAAAAAATGGCATCATTTATAAAAAAAGTGGTCTAAGTTACCCCATTTTACGGTACTGTTAGTAATGGATGAGTTTGCTCTGCATTCTTCAAACAATTTGAAATTAGGTTTTATTTCAAGTGTCCCTTATTACCCCATTCCCAGGGGTAATTCAGGATGCTTCTATTTTGCGTCTGGCACCTTGCAAATAGCCTATTGATTTTTTTTCAGGGATGCCATACAATAGCCCTCGCAAAGACTTTCAAAACGAACCCAAACCAGATTATGGAATATTTCACAGTAAAAAGTTATTAACAAAAAATGCTTAAAACCGTCCCTTATTACAGCATTTGACAGTGTTACCCCAGAGGGTGTGTTTTATTACCCCATATTATGGAAATGGTTGCCATTTTTTTTGGGATTGAGGTACAAAAATTCTGTCAAAGAAGCTTTAAAGCTGACACCTGTCTACAAACTCTTTTCAAGCAAAATTTTTTAATACCGTGAATAATTTGTTTTTACTACAGACCTTAGCAGAATTACTTTTTCAAAACGTCACTTTTCAACATTTTTTCATGGATTTTTTACAGTAAATGTAAGATTTCTCAACTTACTTTATGCTTCATAGAAAGGAAAAATTTTGAAGTTTATGCCACTATTTTTAGTTTTGCAATATATCAATTAGTTTTGCAGCTATAACATTTTTACATTGTGGCAGAGCACTGTCCCAATATACCCGGCATGTCCATTATAACCCTGTTTCACAGTAGTCCATGCCAGAGCCAATCTAATGCTTAAAGCCTTTTTTCTTTGTCCAGAGTTGTTCACATTTTCTGTATCTTCCAGGTGATAGCTGATGTGATCAGGACTTGCTTAGGCCCTCGATCCATGTTGAAGATGTTGATGGACCCCATGGGAGGCATCGTCATGACCAATGATGGAAATGCCATCCTACGGGAGATCACAGTTCAACATCCCGCTGCCAAGCACATGATTGAAATTGCTCGTACACAAGATGAGGAGGTGAAATACCTGTTGTTATTTCAACTTATTTATCTGCAGCCTGGTACAAGTTATAAATGAATTTTTTCCTGGACCTGCTGTGAAGGGTTATTTTTTTTTTTTAATGACATATATTAATTGGGCATGAGATATGGTTAAAGAATTATGAAAATGATTAGAGACTGTGATAGCAGTATGTATTGGTTTGAAATTGAACCCAACTCGAGTTCCCTATAAGTACCATAATTACTTAATCATGCTCTTGTTGGTGTATAGAATGTTTACTGGATGTGGAAGATATCTTACAAAACTGAATAAAACCCACAATGTGATGATGCACTCAATTCAGGTCGGAGATGGCACCACTAGTGTTGTGATCTTGGCGGGAGAAATGCTGGCTGTTGCTGAACAATTCCTGGACGCCAAGATGCACCCAATTGTAGTCATCCAGGCTTATCGGCAAGCCCTTGAAGATGCCCTGGAAATCCTAGAAAAAGACCTGAGGTAAGTTACTACCAGTATCCAGTAGGATGTGTTGCAATTAAATTACGCTTTTACCTTGATCAACTTGCTTTATGCTGCATAGATAGTAAAAATGTTGAACTTTATGCCACTATTTTTAATTTTGCAATATTTTGATTAGTTTGACTGCTACAATATTTCTACCAAATGTTGGAGGACTGTCCCTTTTTACCCCACCCGTCCCTTTTTACCCCGTTTGACGGTATATTCTGTTTACCCTTTTTGAAGTAACCAAGACTGGCAACTTGGCAAGAGGCAATATCTTGATGAAATTTAATCAAATTGAGGTTGAAAGATTGCCCTGTACAATTGTATGCTCGAAATATAATTATGTAAAAAGACTGGACTGTAGTGACCAGTGACCTAATTTAAAAATTTAGTGAACCTAATTTAAAAATGTTTGAAGCATCCAGTGTACTCATCCATTACTAACAGTAATCCAAAGTCCTCCACTTCCTTTGTAGTAGATGTAGAATAAGTGACATTTTCTGTGATTTGTACTTGTTTTTCCTTTATTTAAATGATATTACCATATCCATGCATTACACACCCTATTATTGATGTGATATTACTATTTCCATGGACTTGCCATTAACCATTGACAATGACTTTGTCCACTGCAAGCTTTATATCAGCAGCCATATAGCATTTCTTCTGTATGTGTAAGCTGAGAGGACTGGGCTTTTAATTTCACACCATTTTAATTAGGTCAAGTGAATTCACTATAACCAGAAAATATCATAAAAACGTACCGGTACCTGAAACAGAAAGGAAAATTTACCTAATATTTTCTGGAGAAATAAATTGTAGTTTTGTGTAATTACTCAGTGAACAATTCTATCTTGACATTCTATGCCCAATTTTGTAATGACTGATGATGAATTTATTTATTGTGGAGTGAAATTTTGCTAAGCAAGGTAAATTTAATTGAAATTCTCTGTGGTTAATCAATTTTTTGTTAACTGGAGCCTTTGCTAACCAAGGTTCTATTGTAAATGCATTTTTATGGGTGCCCAGTACCATCAAACTGGATAATAAGGGATGGGCGGGGTAATAAGCTACAGTCCTCCAACATTTTGCAGAAATGTTGTAGCAGCTAAACTAATTGAAATATTGCAAAACTAAAAATAGTGGCATAAAGTAACATTTTACCTATCTATGTAGCATAAAGCAAGTTTACATACATTTACTACCTCTAAAAAATACCTGAAAAAAGTGTGTAAAATGAGATTTTGGTAAAGTACCTCTACTAAGATCTGTAGCAAAAAAATATTTGCCGTATTAAAAAATTTTACTTGCATAAAATTTACACACAGGTGTTGGTTTAAAAATGTGATTGACAGAATTTTTGTAGCCCATCCCCCCCCTAAATGGTGGCCATATCTGTGCAATGGGGTAATAAAGGACACCCCTAAAAATGCATTTACAGTAGATATTTGGTTAGCAAAGGCTCCAGTTAACAAAAAAATTAATTAATTACAAAGAATTTTGATAAAATTCACTATGATCAGTGAAAAAAAATTCACCTAACAAAAAATTAATGCATTATTGGTCATCACAAAACTGTGTATAGAATGTCATAGATAGAATTGTCCACTGGGCAACATAGAATGAAAAGTAATTCACCTAAACTATAATTCATTTCTTCAAAAAATATGATGGAAGTCACTAAAATATTCCTTTCTGTTTAGGTAGGTTTTTTGTGATTTTTTTATCAAGTTAATTCACGTGACTGGATTAGAATGATGCAAAATTACAAGCCGTCCTGTAAGCTTACAGAGACAGAAGAAATGCTATATGGCTGCTGATATGAAGCTTGCAGTGGACATGGTCATTGTAAATGCACAATGGCATGTCCTTGGATACAGTAATATCACATCAATAATATGGTAGTGAATGGATATGGTGATATATCAATAAAGGAAAAACAATTATAATCAAAGAAAATCTCACTTGTTTTACATCTACCTCATCTACGATTTAAGAGATGGACTTCAGAGCACCGTTAGTAATGGATGAGTACACTCTGCATGCTTCAAACATTTTAAAATTAGGTTTTATTTCAAGTGTCCCTTATTACCCCGTTTGCAGGGGTAATTCAGGATGCTTTTATTTTGCATCTGGCACCTTGCAAATAGCCTATGGATTTTTTTCAGAGATGCCACACAATAGCCCTTGCAAAAACTTTCAAAATGAACCCAAACTTGTTTAAGAAATATTTCATGTCAAAAATTTATTGACAAAAAAAAACACAAAACTGTCCCTTATTACCCCGTTTGACAGTGTTATCCCAGAGGGTGTTTTTTATTACCTCGTCATGTGGAAATGGTGCGATTTTGTTTTGGATTGAGGTACGAAAATTCCATCAATGAAGCTTTAAAGCTGACACCTGTCTACAACCTTTTTTCAAACAAAATTTTTTAATACAGTGAATATTTGTTTTTACTACAGACCTTAGTAGAATTACTTTTTCAAAACGTCACTTTTCAACTTTTTTTTTCAAGATATGGTTAAAGAATTATGAAAATGATTGATGACTGTGATAGCAGTATGTATTGGTTTGAACTTGAACCCAACTCGAGTCCCCTATAAGTACCATAATTACTTAATCATGCTCTTGTTGGTGTATAGAATGTTTACTGGATGTGGAAGATATCTTACAAAACTGAATAAAACCCACAATGTGATGATGCACTCAATTCAGGTCGGAGATGGCACCACTAGTGTTGTGATCTTGGCGGGAGAAATGCTGGCTGTTGCTGAACAATTCCTGGACGCCAAGATGCACCCAATTGTAGTCATCCAGGCTTATCGGCAAGCCCTTGAAGATGCCCTGGAAATCCTAGAAAAAGACCTGAGGTAAGTTACTACCAGTATCCAGTAGGATGTGTTGCAATTAAATTACGCTTTTACCTTGATATTCAAATAGTATGCCTCTTATATTAGATTATAAGACTACTATTGTATTTATAGCTGTTAGGAATGCTTGTCAAATGGGAGGACAATTGGGATCAGGATGATGGTTTATTTAACAGTATCTATTGCACTAGATTACTCTATCATTTTAGAAATATCAGCCTAGTTATTCTGAAAGCTGGGAAAAATCTAACTTCAAACCTAGCCAGGCCAGAGCTTACAAATTTTTAAAGCAGTACATAAATATATTATTGAGACTTCAGCAATTTCTGAACCTGGAAACATTTGGTATATGTGATCATTAGTGTTCAATGCCCAACATTGCATTTGGTGCAAGACGGGAAACACCATTGACTAGTTTAGAGTATTTTTGTAACTATCAGGACTAAGCCACTCAGATTATCTAAGCTTTCTCATGTAAGGCTAATTAGCTTCATTTGTTTTGTAATTCTTGTTGCCCCCTTAATTATTTATCGTCATGTTCAGCATACCACTTGACTTGGAGGACGAGAGCAAGATGGTCGACGTGATTCGGTCATGCATCGGCACCAAGTTCATGGGACAGTATGGAGACTTGGCCTGCAAGATAGCCCTTAAAGCAGTAAAAACCATTGCCGTTGAAGCTGGAGGAAAAGTGGAAGTTGATGTCAAGAAGTGGGCCAGGATTGAGAAGGCGAGTCTTGTCAAAGAAACACACCAAGAATTGCTTTATTACGCATGATTGGCTTTATTCAGATTAATTTCTTCTGACTATCATTCTGATAAATGTCTATATTGAGAAATTCTACTCTACACGACTACTAGACCTTCCACTCTCTACATGACTACTGATACTCCTTATCTGTAATAGGTTTTCTTGTAATAAGCAAGTAAGTTTTTTCAAATTATACTGAAGCTGATAGTTACGTATGTCTCTTTCTAATGCTTAGGAGATTTTTTATATGGATGCTTAAGTTATTTATTTTAAAATTCTATTGATGTTCTAGCACTTCACTTGATAGAAATTGACTCTCGACTGGCTTTTATTCCTTTCGAAATTACAATGCATGTTCCTTCTGAAGATTGTCAACCGATAGTAAATTCATTAATCGTAACGCAATTTATTGGATTATTGGAGCATTATTTTAAAATCTTGAAATAACCAGAACGATCTCTATTGTGGTTTCAATGTGGAGCTCTACTCACAGGTGCCTGGTGGCTCCATAGAAGACTGCTGCGTGCTGGATGGAGTCATGTTCAACAAAGACGTGACGCATCCTCGCATGAGCCGCCGCATTGAGAAGCCTCGAGTTATTCTTCTTGACTGTCCTCTTGAGTTCAAGAAGGGAGAGTCACAAACTGATGTGGAAATATCGGCTGATGCTGATTTCAGTAAGGTAAAAATTTCTTAACCCTTTCATCTCGGATGCATTTACCATCGTTAATGCTATTCGTACTTAATGGCTTGGGACCGAAAATTCCTGTCAGTTACAAAAGGGTTAACTATAACTACCTTCTGTAAACCTTCAGAGTTTGTATAGCTAACATTACGCGATCGTAAGTGACAATGGCGTGGAAGAATTCGTAAATTGGGTCATTCGTTTGACGGATGGTTTAAAAAATTACTATTCACATTATCGTTCTAGGTTCTACCTGAACAAATAAAAAAAAATCATATAATTTATCAAGCACAGCAGCAAGAATGCAAATATATATTTTTTTTTGCATGGCCTGTTTATTCATAACATTATGAACCCCTGTATGGAATGCACATTTAACTAAATTTTGACTACAGATGTTGCAACTAGAAGAAGATTACGTGAAAGCTCAGTGCGCTGATCTGATTGCACTGAAGCCCGACTTGATCATCACAGAGAAAGGTGTGTCGGACTTAGCTCAGCACTACCTCTCGAAGGCCAACATTTCCGTTATCAGACGCGTCAGAAAATCCGATAACAATCGAATTTCTCGTGCGAGCGGCGCCACTATTGTGAACAGGACCGACGAAATCAGAGAAGAAGATGTTGGCACTGGAGTGGGGCTCTTTGAGGTCAAGAAGGTGAGACATTTTTTCCAAAGACAATAATTCACTTGAAATCTATTGCAGTGATACCACATTAATCAAACCAACAGGCAGTTGTATTGGCAGCCTGCGGAATTTATTTTATCATAAAATTGCTTGTGAAGCAAGCAAATTAATTAGTGCTCACTTGGGTCAGGTAATCCATTCTGTGCAAATACTCAGATATGCTTCAGATTGCTCTACTGATATTAAGTAGTTTTTACAAATCATGTTAAAATTCTTTAATTGGAAAATTATGTGTGAAGTTAAGTTTTGGCCTACTGAACATTTGCTTGCTATCAAAATGCATTCAAACTTGCATGATATTCATAATGAATTGTTATTGATTCCTTGTGCGCTCTAGTATTAATGTTAATTTCGTTTAATTTCAAGAAATTGCATATTTCGAAAGTAGTCGAATTTTTAGTCAGACAAAAGAGATGTTTTGACAACTTTTTCCTACCTATACAGATCGGCGACGAGTACTTCACGTTCCTGACGGGTTGCACTGACCCCAAGGCCTGCACGGTGCTGCTGAGGGGGCCTAGTAAGGACTTGCTCAATGAGGTCGAGCGAAATCTGCAAGATGCCCTCGCAGTGGCCCGCAACTTGCGCCTGTCCCCTGCCATCGTGGCGGGAGGAGGCGCCGTTGAGATGGCCGTGTCACAAGCCCTGCAGGAGAAGGCCAAGAGCATCAAAGGCGTCAAGCAGTGGCCTTACACCGCTCTTGCTCATGCTCTGGAGGTCTGGTTTCCCTGCAATAGAATTATAAGGAGTGTCCTATGTATTTGATGCTTGTGCGAGTTTCATTACTATCAAGTGTCTCGTTGAGTGTTGATGAAGTGTCTCATGATGAAGAATTGACTGTTGATGAAGTGTCTTATTGACTCTTGTGTGTTTATAAATTGATGACTGTTGATGAAGTCATCATTGACTTCATCAACAGACTGTTGAATTGATGAATTGACTGTTGATGAAGTGTCTTATTGACTCTTGTGTGTTTATAAATTTTTTGAAGCTGCCTAAGATCACATCTTGAAGCATTGAGCGTTTCTCGAAACGAAAGTTATTTGCTGTAAACTAAACTACATACTTTGCTTAGAAAGTAAATTACACTCATTCTTTCTTCGAACTTTTCTGTTCCTAATTCCAGATGTGCAAGTGTAATGGATAAATTAATAGCGGTTCATTTATTTTACAGGTCATTCCAAGAACGTTGACTCAAAATTGTGGCGGTAACATCATCCGTCTGCTAACAAATCTTCGAGCAAAGCACGCGGCTGGCCACAAAATGTTTGGCGTGAACGGAGAGTCTGGCGAACTGGCGGACATGCAGGAGCTTAAAATATGGGAGCCTCTGGCCGTCAAGCTGCAGGTCTACAAGACTGCCGTCGAGGTGAGCACTGATAGTTTCATTAGCTACACTAAGCTACGTTCGCCACATTTCTCTACACTAAGAAAAATGAGTGGGTCAAAATAGCGACGCAGTTTTTGTTTCCGTTAGGGTCATTGTGACCCTGTTTAGCCTGGCAAAAGGCTCATCGTTGCAACGATCACTATTTGGACATGCTGAATTTGGAAGTTCTAAGTGGAGAGACTCCTGCTCTTCATAAAGTTCATTTTGTAGAGGATAAATTTCATACCTGAAGTTGTGCTGGAAACTTGTAGCTCCAAGTACCGACTCATTTCAACAGAATAAAGGCAGTTAGTTGTTTGTGTTCAGGTTCGTATTTTTTACTGCATTCAGAAGGCTATGCCTTACGGAAGTTCAGTTTAAATCTTCCCATATATGAAGACCGTTATATACGTCACGCTCGTCACAATTCTTTGACCTCGCTGCACATATTTGCCCTCACAGACGGCAGTACTGCTGCTGCGTATTGACGACATCGTGTCGGGCTCCAAGAAGATGAAGGACGATATCGGCGGCGGTGCGATGCCCACTGAAGAGTCTATGATGCAGTAGTGGCCACTTCCTTAGTTCTCGCTCCTTGAATTTTCTCCTTTGTTATACCTTAACCCAGTTCGTTCAACTTAGCTTATTGATATAATTGTCCTTCAAAGTTTTTTTTGTGTAACCCTACTAATGTTTTGTCGATCTAATATGAAAACTTTCCATTTTCTTTATGCTCACTAAGGTTCTTTCTGTTTACGTGTCTGATCCAGCATGGATATCTTACGAATCTGAACAATTTTTGAAATAATATAATGTTTCTTGTTCCTACAATCATTCTTTCGTGATCTCATTCATCACGCTCTGTAAGAGTCACTAATACACGATTAAAAGTACTTACTTAGTTATCAATGAACCCAACATCACGTGGAGGACTATATGAAGTTCAGTGAATTGTAGACTTCAATATGTTCCCATTTTGTGCTGCAATTATTTCGTTGCCCACTATCCTTATAGAGGCTNTTACTAGAATTTGAAACAAGAAAAAACACCAGGGGCCACGGCTATAAACTAAAAAACTCCGCTGCAACTTCTCCACGCGACAACATTTCTTCTCGCTTCGAATCAAATACATGTGAAACAGCCTCCCCGATTACATCGTTGGCGCTCCATGTATGAACGCGTTCAAGAACAGACTAGATAAAGCTATGGAAAAATATATGTTCAGATTTGGAATGCCTAGCACCTTGTCCAACCCGGTGGAAGTCTAGTAGCTACTTCAAACTACCGTCAGTCATGAAAAGATCCGGTCAAATGACACGATTTTAGATCTTCTGTGAACAAGGCACGAAAAGGAAAAGAATCGGCGACAGGCCACATCAGGCCTACACTTCAGCGCCGAGATCACTATGTTATGTTATTTTATGTTATTACCTCGTGGAGCACCAACTTCCACCAGTACATATACTGTATCATAGATTATACATTGATCAATTATGCCTTTTTGCGTTTCCACGCCATTTCCAGGAGTTCTCGCAATTTTTGTTGGCTTATAGTTCACCAGAGCCTTTGCTATCAAACCTTATAAAACTACCTTGAAGCGTGTGAGTGGTAACGAGATGAGAGGAGCTTTTATTTTCAGCGACATGAGTGGCATCATGGTTGAACTAATGCCATGAACCATGAGTGGCATGATCGCACCCACTGCCATACGAGCATCAGTGTTTCTTAACCTTTTAGGTGGTACCGAACCCTGCAAGTTCCATACATGCATTCATCTAACCTCTAACCCTAAACAAGGCACGAAATGGAAAAGAATCGGCGACAGGCCACATCAGGCCTACTCTTCAGCGCCGACATCACTATGTTATGTTATGTAGGTGAATAAATAATTTATTTTTTATTCATAACATATGTCTATGCTACATAAGACATAACTATATACTGTATAACTCCATACATAAACTGTAGCATAATTTGCACACAAAGTCCCTTTGTTGAAAGAAAAAAACCCACACAACATAAATTTCGCAACAAAAAAAAAATAAATAAAAATTCATTGCCAATCAATATGACTTTTATTGTTGCCTCAGTGCGACAATTTCAGGAATGCGTGGTTTCACCTTCGCAAGTGCCACTTTCAAATCATTTTCGCAACAATGTTTGTTCATTTTCTTCGTTTTGATGTTTACCATTATCGAAAAGGACTGCGCGCAAAGATATGTTGTAACAAACGGCATGAGAATATCCAGGGCTTTCTTAGCAAAAAGAGGGTACGCTGCGATATGGAGACACCAAAACATTGAGAGCGTTGTTGTTTTGAAGAGTTGCTGTTGAACCAGGCTCGACTGCAGTGCAATGATTTCGTCCAAGTATTTTTATTCACATCTGCCGTCACAACACTAAACGTGAACGGCTGTCTCACCCATGCTGGTATGAGATTGTGGTGGGGAAGTATCCGTCGAGAGACTTTGCAAGCTCATCTAAGTGCATTGCAATTGTTTTCTGCAACCAATAATGGCCAAGCAGTGCGTGACTGACGTCCCGTGAAACAAACCGTCGAGCCCCAGCAAACGACTCACCGAACCCCTGGGATTCGATCAAACACAGGTTAAGAATCACCGCACTCATTCTAGCTGCTGCCATTCGTCCGCTATATTAGTAC